CCAACTAAGCCGGGCAAACCACCCTGCTTCCCTCTACTTCCCTCTACTTCTCCCCCTCCACCCACCGACAGGCATTCCGTGCGGGGCACGAGCGGTTGCCACGGCTCTTTGAGCTCTTGGCACTCTTCCCAGGCGCCGCACCGGAGAGACGGGTTCACTGGGTTGGTTCGGTGTGAAGCCTTTTCGGGGATGAAGCCTGACTCTTTTGCTGTTAACTGGTTGCTAACCCGGTGAGTCCAATTTGACATCCGATGCTGATAAGTTCCGACTGGTGACTGGTTGATGTATGCAACTTCCTCAGATGGTAAATGGTTAATTCATTTAACCGCCCCCAGATGGAGATGTTTTAGCAATGCACCTAGGGAGGTGTTGTTCATCAGTCCACATTAGATCATTAGACTTCAGGAACAAATCATGATGGAGAAGGGTCGTTGAACAGTCTCGGAGGAGAATGGTCGTGTCAGACGTGTCACCGAAAACAGAGGAGCTCCTGGCATTACGACTAGTAGCAAATAGCTACTAGATGCTACCAGTAACAAAGGGCATCGCTACTAGGAACCCGGGCATCGCTACTTGGAGCAAGGACGCTGCTAGTAGCTCCTGGCCCTACTACTAGGAACAAGAAGCTACTAGGAGCCAGGGCATCGCTACTAGATACTACGAGTAACGGCCTTTTTGAGCCAACCCGACGCTACAAACGTAGCTCCAATTTGGGTCTTTCAGGCACCGTCCGGATCCCACCTGTCCATCGACGTGGAATCCGGTCACCGCGGCGACCTGTCACCGTGGGTAGTAATGCCCGGAGCTAGTAACTAGATGTAACTAGTAGAGTCCTTGCTAGTAGGGATGCCCTTTGTTAGCTACTAGTAGTAATGCCAGGAGCCACTATAGTCTATATAGTGACTAGTAGCGCCCTCAGGCTCAAGCTCTGTCTTTGAGAAGCACGCGAGGCGTGCGTTTCGCTGGTTTGGGGAAGCGGTGGCCTGCCCGAGGCACATCTGGTCGGAGTGAAGCGGCAGTTCGTGTGGTCACCCACTACGGGTGGTTTCAAAAAGGAGGATTTATAAGGAGGTGTGATGATCTGAATGGGCTGCCCTGTACCAGTACCCGGGATACAGCAGAAAGGTCGAAGTGCTTTCCAGCTTGGTCTTACGAGTCTAGTCTGGTTCGTCCTTTATTTCCTTTATAATTATGAATGTGACATGTCAGAGTTTTATTATGCTTTATAAGGCTTTATGTAATATTTATTCCTATTCTTATGGTCTTGGGGGGCTTATATATATATATATATGCTTGTGCAGGTCGGTCCATGGTCTTATCTACGCTTGAGGCTAGCCTTCACCTCTGCAGGGCGCAATGCCATGCGTCGCAGCCAAGACTTCGACGTGTGTCATTCTTCGGGTGTCGTCGCAGATGTTCGGAATGTTGGGATTAGACTGACCAACACCAGTACTTGTAGAATTTTGGGACCTACACCTAAGTCAACCCAGAATGTCAGGGATTAAACATGGCTGCATGCAGGATGATGGACATTTATAGAACAAATTTCACTTCTCGCAGGAAGTCTGGCCTTAAGATATGTGGGACAAGCAGAGCGTTGAGTTCCACTTTCGACCCAACGAGCTGGGCAAGTCGATAATTGACCCAAATGAACTGCCCGGATTTTTTAGGATCTGATTTTTTGCTAGGACTGCTTGACATGGTCCAAGCCCAAATGCAAAGTGCTATCCGTTTTATCTTGTGTGTCCCTTGTTTGGACGTCCTATTGGCAGGTAGCTTCAAATCAGCTTATGAAAAAGACCCCAGATCGGCCATGAGGGTGGGCTGGAAACTACTCCAACGAGATAGGTACACTTCTACACCGGAGTATATCGCATAATATCGCATAGTATGTCAGGTCAGTTCCATCCTGGCCTTTTCTGCGCTGGCTTCCTCAGGCGGGAGCCGGAAGTGGTCCAGATGGATGCAATGTAGGAAATTGTTGATGCACCGGACCCAGGCCTCCAATCTAACAACATTCTGAAGACATGTGTGCTGCTACTCGTAATGTTAATCTGCACCAGTGGCCTGGGAAATTCACCAACGACTGCTCATGGCTAAGGGAAGTTCTTTGAGACTTCAAGTAGTTGCTAGGGGTGATTGAGTGCTGCTCATTACGCTACTTTTCAACACGGGACAGACGGGACATAAACTAAAATTGAGCGGCTATCTCAATATTCAGAGTCTGGGGCCGTCGATTCAAGTTACTGGCTTGGACATGAACACAAGACACATGTTTATGTATGCATTTGGAATCGTTTGCATCCCAAAACCTGGCACCCCAACTGGACTGAGATTCTCAAAGGATCCCCAACTGCACACCAGATTGCCCAATGATTGATCCATGGGATCCAAGTGCCCCCGCTCCCTGCGGCCTTCGCCTCGCGAGGCCTTGGCGCATTTGCCCCACGTGCCGGTCCTGCGAGCGCCTTTGGAGCTGCTCGCAGAGCAGTACCCACAGGCACGCCGTGGCGTTAGCACTCCGTGGCGTTGGCACGCCGTGGCGCGTGGCATTTGCTGAGTCTAGAGAGCAAGGTTGTTACGTCAGGTGCTGTGGTCACGTTGTTTATGGAGTGTTTTGTAGGGGTGAAAGTGGCCGAGTGCTTTTCCGCTTCCAGGCGTCAGACATCCTACGCTTTTGGCGCTTCGTATCCCAGTATTTTGGCCACCAGGTTGTGGGAGATTCCAGTCTCAGGTGGCTGTACTGTATTCATTTAAAAACAAAGAGCAACAACATAGTAGCGTTGGATGATCCACCACCACCACCACCACCACCACCGCGGCCGCCGCCGCTGCCGCCGCCACCCCCGGCACCGCCACCACCGCCACCACCGCCACCAAAACACCACGACCAGCATCAGCACCAGCACCAAGAATACAGGGATGCTTACAGGTTTCCAATGTTTCCGAATCATGACCAAGTCAGAGTTCGATGTCCCAATTTTGATGGGACATGTCCTTCAAGCAGATGACACAATAACAGTGATGCGAGGCCGCTAGGCTGTGCTAGGTTTTTGTCCTGTGAGGTCAGCAAGAATGTTTCCCGACTCCTAATTTCTTCGTTGGCAAGTAAGAACCAAATTAAGATATCGTTATAAACATAATTAAGCAGCAAGGTGGGTGTCCCCAACAAAACCGGCGTGTTCCGGTCTGTTTTCCAATGATTCCAGACTTCCACGCACGCGGAACCGCGCAATATATCGGGTGGTCCTCCATTCTCCGGTCGCACGCCACCGGAGGCTCTCTTCTGGCCCCTGCAACTCTCTTCTCACCAGGAGACCCGCTTCGCCTTCGCTCGCCTTCGCTCGCCTTCGCTCGCTCATGTGGCGTCGCGCGTGGCTTTCGCCTCCTGCAGAGTCGCTTTCGGCTGGTGTCCATAGGGACATCTGGCGACTTGGGTCCACGAATCTGCTCAATGAAGAGGTCGATGGATGAGGGTGCGACCTTTCCAAGGGATATCCACATGATGCCACATGAAGATATGAACAATATATATATATATTTATGTAATATTATATATATATATTTAGTCTTATACTGTAATCTGTGTTATTACTGAGACGCCTCAAATACCCTGGGAAAAGGAATCACAACCTCAAACCCATCGGTGACCCGTACATGGGACGCAGGAGGACCGTTGGTCGGTCGTTTTGATTTCTCCCTCGGTTCATGCGACAACCTCCCGCATTTCCTCGCAGTTCCAAACAGTAGGACATTGTGGGTCAACGCCAGAGCGCCTTTCAGCCACTCTGGGCGGCTTTGGAGCGGAGTCAGGCGCGCTAGTTCAGATGGAAGGTGGACTTGACCAGCTTGAAAAGCACACTGAAAGAAAAAAAACGGGTTGAGATTCCCCTCTACTTGAGTTAGAAGAGTACGTTGGGCCGTGGCCTTTTCAGTGGATCATGATGGCTATGAGGGCGTGATATGGTCGGATAATTACGTAACATTTACGAGGTGCCCCCGCACGCAGGCAGCACTATTCAACTTGAATGAATTCACGCACACAAGTCTGATGGGATGTTGATAAAGTGAACCCCCAATCAACAGATGTGGAGGCTTTGTAGCTCAAAACTCTCTCATTCAGGTCTGAGCGCCACTTGTTGCCTTATTCCGTAGCTTGGTCTATGTTCACTCTTGGGTTGCAATCCAGTTTCGAGTGCATGTTCACCTGGATCAATCTGACTCATCGGATCCGGATCGGAGAAGGCACGGAGGCAGAAGGACCAGGCTCCCGCCGTTCTCCAGGCTCCCGTGAAGACGGCCATGACCTTCACCCAGGCCTTGGACCGCGCGGAAGGCCCAGGACCGCGGTCGGCGTTTGAGAGGTCGCGTTTGGACTTGATCCCCGAAGTGGCTACGGCTCAGTGTTGATGACCAAGTGGTACGCAACGGTCGCAACGTGGGGTGGTGCGCAGCTGCATGGCTGGGAACCGTGCCAAAAGTGAAAGTTTGCAGCTTACTCAAGACAGTTTGTTTAAAACATCCCAAGACCAACCTCGGGAGCCTCAGAATGTGGCATTGGCCAAGCCAAATGGCTTGGGGTATTGTGGGTAAACCTTGTTGCAAAGCAAGGTGTACCTTCCGTCAAACACACTATACCCTGGGAGTCATCGCCCAGGAAAACAAAGGGGTTTAGTAGAACGACCTTTTTTTGCCGTCCCGCCAGGTACTGAACCTACGAGTGATAGGTGTGATCTGGAGTTGAGATGCTGGAGGCCATTTTGGCACATTAGGTTGTGCAGGGGGCACAACCTTCAAGGGTCATTCAAAGAACATCAGCAGCTCAAAAGTGAACAACTTTCAGACCTAAGGCCCGATGATAATAACCATATGTAATATGCAACGTTGCAACTTTATAATTTGGACTGTTGTTCAGCAAGGATACGACCAAAGTAATAATCATTAGTATTTAAGATTTCACTCATTTGCTCAGCCTCCTTGGTCATGGGCCATGAGAAAAGATGAGAAAAGCTTTGGCTGCCCGCCCAGCACTCAACTCCTTATCAGCCCAGTTGCATGACAATGTCATCACCCTATCCATCGATGCTGGATTGATCTTTCTTCAGCAGTGACATTAGCAGTGACATAGAATGCTGAGTTAATTCCTAAGCTGGCGTGCAACTCATGAAGTGATTGGGCCAAAGTTGTCCCCGAGGCTATTTGGAACACCTGACTGGCGATGACCTCATCGATCTGGATGAACTCATTGGTGCCATCCCACCGCCCTGACCCTGTCCAGTTGACAGAGCTCTAGAGTACACGTTTTGGTCATGTGCAAGGCAAGCAGGGCTTGCTGGTGATCAAGTTTCATGAAACAAGGTTGTTGAACCACCTTTGCAAATGGAGCTAGTATAGTCGTCAGTCATGTTAGGACTGTGGCATTTTGGCTATCTGAGGGGGGGGCACGCGAGTCTGATCATGAGGTTGGCATGCATGTGCACATGTGTTTTCTGGCAACACACTTACACTCGGGGCTATGGCTGATGTTTTGCCATGGCAGTTCACCCCAAAGCGGCTCAATCCGCAAAGGGTGGCATTGATCAAGGAGCACCCAGCCGTGCACATTGATCCATAGAGGTCATCATTCCAGCTAGGTTTTTAGTATACTCCCCGGAATTCCTGCGCGATACTTGTGCACCCATCCTGCAGGAGTTTCTACGAAGCTTCTGTGAGAATGATGAGTTCATCGTCCAAAGGCGCAAGGCACTTCGTATCAGGGCAAAACTTCGTGATGATGATACAAAATTGGTCATCAACTCAGACTAGACTCCTTGTTTTGGATTAGTCATTCCAAAAGCAAAGTTCAGACCAGGGAAACAAGTCATGAACGGTGTCAGTATTGTCTTTGCAAGGTCCCAAAGTTCCGCTTCATCATCTTGGAAGGTTCTCGACAAGTGATTTCGGAGCGTGAGGCCTGCTCAAAGTGGAGAAAAACTAGAACTTTCAATTCATCCCCAAAACTTACAATCGATCTGTTCCTCGATCCATGTTGTCCCTTTGGCAGGTTCAAAGTGACCACAACTATGAGTTTGTACTGGCCTACCTGGCTTCCTTTGCACATGACTTGCCACGCCGCAAGGAACTTGAGGCCAAAGTAAGGGTCATCTGATTCATATTGTGTGGAGTTCTGCAATGAGCTTTTGTGCAAAACATGGTGATCAACACAATTGCACACTACAGGGTCTTCCAATCAGTTTCAACTGCACTGACCAGTTGGGCTTGGCATGGGCATCAAGCCACTATCGCCTCAATCCTTGGCGCCGTCCTGAGCAGCACCAGGCTGGTCTCCAGTCCTTTCCCTTAAGTGCACAAACTTCCTGGCACACATCATTCTCATGATATCAGGTTTCATGATGTTTCATGCGCATGATTCATGATGAACGAACCGGGTCAAACATGAATTGATTAATATAACAGTCCAATGGTGAACTGTGCAGGCATGGTCCATCATCGAAGCTGGTACTTTGATGGGCGCCGCATCATGGTGCATGGATCGCTTCCAACGAAATGTTGGTGCAAGGCGATTTTTTGATCAAGCCGTTCAACTGGTCGTACAGTTCACAAATAGAATAGTTAGATGATGTTAGATGGATCTTTCCAGCAAATATGTGTATACAATTCGTGGAAATGTGTTTTCTGTTACACATGCTTGGTTTATAGGGATGTCATTCATTTGATTGCATGGGCATGCACTGCTAAGCCATATTATGCATGCTGCAGGCCTGGACATGAAAGAACCGAGAACCTTAAGGCTGTGATCCGCTTCAAGTTGGAGGACATGGGTAGTGTGGGTGTTACTCAGGCAATTGATTACATGTGCCAAGAATGAGTCCGGGTTAGATCTTGATATTGTGTTCATATATGCGGAATCATGTATTTTTCTTGTGTGGCTTCCATTGCAGAACTCCAATTGGCCTTTGTGTGTTTGATCTATCTATGCATGATTGTGGCATTATAACTGTCGATCATTAGTGTGCATGTGCAAGCATGGATATGCAATTGGCACACATTTCAAAAGTATATAGCAATCTTGTGTTGGACAGGAGCATGACTTGTTGACCCCACAGGGAAAACGAAAGCCGACCCGTGGACGTGGAATGAGTGAGCAGAAGAAGGCCCGGCCAGGGTATGGTCTGGTGGATGGGCTTTGCGTCAGTGTTTGTGATCAATCTTGAGTAATATAATCAAGACTAATTGAAAAGTTGGTGTTTTGAGATCGCCATGCATTCATGCATATTATATTGTTTGATGTGGGCGATATATACAAACGCAGCTACATGCAGGAGAGGGATGCCATCCCTGATGACGCAGACACCCAGCCACTGTCTGACGGCCAGCCACAATGCACACCACCACCACAGGCGTCGCCTGGAATTGACTCACAGTGGCGATTGGAAAGAGGCAAGTCGACCAGCCATTTAGGTGACTTGGGAGAGAAGTTCGAGGAGGCAGCTGACGTGCCAAACCATGATGATGAGTATGGTGAGGCTCAGGAGGAGGAAGTCGTGACTGATGACGATTGCGTTGAGCCTGTTGTGTGCATGCAATATCAAGACAATGACACGGTCCTCATCATGTCAGATGATGAGTGTGTCATGTCGCCCCAAAAGCCCAAAGCTCCTGAGCTTGAGGATCTCGGGCAGAAGGGTGGTGCTGACCAGCATGGTGGTTCCACTGGCAATGCCACCGTGGCAGCTGCAGCAGCAAGCACTCCGCAGCACCCGCAGCAGGTGAAGGCTGAATGTCCTCCCGATGATACCCAGGTGGCTGGCCAGACTGGCAGTTCAGACCCAGCACTGCCGGAAGCACTGGTAGCACCAGTTCCGCCAGGTACAAAGGAAGAGATCGCAGAGGCAGCAGCCGCAGAAGCAGAACAAGAAGCCTTAGACAGTGAGAAAGAAGAGACTGCGCAAAATAGCACGCAAGCAAAGAAGCAAACATTCAAGGCACGATCGGGGACATTCATTAATTGATATACTATGCATGGCATGCAAGCACATGCTATATATGTCACGTACGTGTTAATGGATACAAAAATGATGGATGGGGTTATCACAAGCCAGTAGTACGCATACAGGTTTTGTTTGATTAATCATTATCTCGCATGTGTCCAAGCCAACATGGCAGGACCGAAAGCCCCTCGCTGAGTTCCCCCACATGCCCGAGGATGTGATGCAGGAGGCTGATAGGGTGATCAAAGAGCTGGCGCAAGATGAGGAGGAGATGAACAAAGAGTTTCTCAAGGCCGCCCTTTTTACCTCTCTTTCATAGTTCTTCTGCCCACATTGTATTCTTTGCGTGTATAGCCTATCTTGGCCTTGCAGCCTTGATTGGAACATAGTTGACCAGACCATTCAATCCATGATATCATACTTCAAATTGCAAAGTGTTAAATTGAACATTAACATGTCACATGAGTGTATACGGCAAAATACATGTGCGTGTTAATGTGCGAATAGTTTTCCATTAGGAGTATTTGTTCATTGTCCTCACAAGTCCACTGCAGGGGCAAAAAGCTCTTCGCAAAATGGAGAAGGAGGCTCAAGAGCAGGAGGAGGACCCGGACCGTGCCTATGCGGACGAGGAAGGAGATGACGGCAAACCAAGGGGCCGTGGCCGCGGCAAGGGGAAGTCAAAAGGACGTGGACGTGGGCGTGGGCGTGGGCGAAAATCATCAGTCGCACAACCGGCTGAACCTCCCAACCCTCCTAACCCTGGCTCCAGTTCCAGCAAGGAGGGTCAGAGTACTGAGCAGCCTGAGATGGCTGGTGCGGCAAATGATGGCTCTGGTAGAAAGAAAAGGGCCAAGGCCATGGCCAAGGAATCCCAGGAGCTCAAGAGGGCTAATGATGTCGAGGCCGCCCAGATGGAAGAAGCCACTGCTCCAAAGAAAGCAAAAGCAGATGCACCCACTTCTGTGGCCGAGGACTGACACATCACCATTGTATAATGCCTGTTTTTGCGTTTAATATATGTGCATGTGATTTAGTGCTTATTGCATCCCTGCACATGTATATATGGCACGTGCATGCACTCATAATTGTGTGATTGAGTTGTTGTGCGCATGTGTATTAACCCGCTTACCAGCAGCTTGACTGATATCCGTTTAGGATACAAATGAAGCGACCACAAATGCTGATGAAGCAGCAGAGAAGAAGTCAAAAGCAAAAGAAGCAGAGAAAGCAAAGCAAGACATGGCCCGTCCTGTGGGTAGGGGCATGGTGGAGACACATATTTTGTGGGCGATGGGCAATGGTGTTGAACATGCACTACGCTCCGTTTTTTGACGTTTTGAATGGATTAATTCTGTGACAACTTTCCAACACACTACAGGGGCACTGTTTATATTAAATTTGTAGATTGATCGCAATCTGTGCAGCATATGAATCATTGAGATGCGCATGCAAGTCAACATTTGTGTAACAACTATAGTAACTAGACTATGCATATGCATGCATACATGTATACATGTGCCATGAAACTTGATATAACCGACAATGCATGCGATGAGTCAACCGTGGGCTCTGGGAGGCTCGTGTTGCAAACCTGCGCATCCTGATGGAGAAAGTCAACCACAAGTACCTCCGCTTCCCCCCACAGGAAGTTGGGGATCAGAAGTGACATCCTCAGTGGTTGCTGCTTATCCTATTGCCAACTCCTGCACGCAATCCATATGAGTTGGAATGTGTGGGCTCTATATTTATGTCATTTAACCTAGTATGTCGATCATGCATGAATATACTACATCGGTCGGCGTACCAGGTCGTGGACTTTGCTCCCTCCAGACGATTTGGATGAGAGCCTTGCAGAGGAAGCCACACGCATTCAGATTTTGCTTGAAGCTTAGCCCAGCTGACGACCATTATTTGTTTACTATAGGGGTCCACCATTTCCTGTTTCAGGTTCGTCTTCCTCAAGAATTAATCATGTGCAAACCATAAATCCCATCAAATGGTGCGTAAAACATGTTTCTTGCTAGCGGCTTAGGCTGGTGCAGTCACGGTCTTGCACGGCTGCATTCTATGTGAAGGACGTTAAGCCAGCAACCATCAAGCTGGTTGCTGAAGGTGTTGGGCTATATGATTTGCAGGCCCATTTTGTTGAGGGCATATGCACACATGGGTGCATGCATTATATGTTATAATACGACTCTTCCAGAAACAGTCCCAAATATATTGAACACATGTGTCATACATGAAACATGTTGAA